AGGCTATGAGGTTCAACAATTACTCATGGGATACTTTCTTATAGACCAGATGGTCACATCCTCATGACAGCGCTGTGGAGGGAAGGCTCACTCTCTTTAGAGGTGAAGTGTTTGCTCCTCTTTAGCCAGATAGGTGGTGCACCAGCACACACACACACACTGTTTATGACTAGATTTCCTGCTTTTCGCTAGTCCGTGCTGCACATGTAATGCTGGTCCATTCTGCTGTCCACGTCAGAGTCCCACCCTCGTCAAGGACATGTGGCTCCTTCCTTCAGCGTCACCTGCAAAGTGGCAAAGGCCTAGAGCTGAGAGTAAAATTCAAAGGCACCGTCCCCAAGGAATTCATCTGAAATGCAAGAGCGATTGGACTAGGGCAGGTTTTGTTCCTGCATCCACAAGAATCCGGCCAGCACAGGGTCTTTCTTAATGCTGCTCACATACCCAGTTGAAATCGGTCTAAGCAGCTGGCTGGCACGACCTTTTTTTTTTTTTTTTAAATAAAAGAGCTTCCCACCCAGAGCATCTCAGACAATAGAAAATAGAGATATCAATTGAACGATTTGAGCTAATGGTAGTTTTATCTCCTTATAAACATTTTCTTATTAGTTCTTTAAGTGGTTAACATGAAACCCTTTGCAATACTTTCATTTGGGAGGACTTGGTAAAGTCATCCACTTGTCAGGTATATAACTGGAAGAATTGTAATACAAATATAAGTGATCATATTTTGGTCACATGTGGTTAATTTTCCTTAGATAAAACACTGAGGAACCCAATATGGAAATGTCAAAATTGCCTCAGAGTGAAACACTCAATTTGAATATTTATATACATGCTCCACGTTGAGGCAATCCAGCAAACTGTTTAATAAAGACAAAAGAATTGAGCTGTTTGTGCATTTTAATTTGCAAAACAAAGAACATCCCATAAATGTGATTTAGTTATATTATTACACACTTTAATTTATTATTCATGCATCTTATTTTCTATAACCCAAACAAGACATGTGTTGCAAAATATCAGCATTGCCACAATTCATACCATTTACAGTAAAACTTGGGTTAACTGGTTGGTACATAGTCAGGCTGCGGGGCCAACTGTAACAAGGGTGTGTGTATATACATGGAAGTGTGTGTGGAAGAGAGAGGATAATTTTATCAATAAAAGTAAAAATAAATGAAATAGGTCATGATGGAGAAAGGAATTAACTTTCTGAACACAGTGCCACTACCTACTATTTTCAAGTTTCACGTGCCTGTTTATCGTCTCCATCCTTAACTAGAATGTACACTCTATGGTAATCAAAGCCTTGACTCTCTCTCTCTCTCTCTCTCGCTCTCTCTCTCTCTCTCTCTCTCTCCTCTTTCCCATTGCCTCAACCAACACCCACCTCTTCGCAGGTGTTCAAACATCCAGAAGCACGAACAGCATCTCTTGCTCAGCGCACACCAGGCATTTGGGATATATATGACCAGTGAGACATTACATCACAAGACTGCAGGCCCCCAGTGGTCCTTAGACTCATTTGTGAGTGTTTTAGTTAGTTAATTAATTCATCTTAATTGTGACAAAGTAAACATACGCTTTACCACTATAGCCATTTTTAAGTGTACGATTCAGTGGCGTTAAAGTATATGTACATGGTTGTGCAAACACCACCTTCATTCATCGCCAGAACTTTTTTCATCTTGCTAAACTGGAACCGTACCTATTAAACTCCCCATTACTCCCTCCTCCCAGCCTCTGGCAACCCCTAAGTTACTTTCTGCCTGTGTGAATTTGACTACACTAGGCACCTCCTATAAGTGAAACCATACAGTATTTGAGTTTTTGTAACTGGCTCATTTCACTTAGCATGATGTCCTCAAGGTTCATGCATGTTGTACCACGTGTCAGAATTTCCTCTTTTTCTAAGGCTGAATAATATTCTATTGTGAGAATATATTACAATTTGTTCATCCGTGAACACATGAGTCGCATTGGGTTTCGATGGCATGTCCTGCCTGGAGTTTGTTTATTTGTTTAATATGTTGAATTCATTTCGAAAGTCCTTAGATAGGGCATGTCTTCTCCAATTCTTCTGCTCTCACCACCTTTCTTCTCCAGACGCCACCCAGATTCCCCATTAACTCCGTGTGTCCACATCTTTCAATGGAGATTGAATGATAATGATTATATTTCACTTGTTAACATTGGAATAGGAGTAATTCATATTGTAAATCAAGAATTATACTAGAGAAGAAGTTTCTACCTAACCGCTAGTTAATTTTGGTAAAAATTTAAGAAAACATTTATTTCTTGAGCTGTCCAGTCTTAATAGATAGAAATTTGATGGGCAGTCTCCTCTGACTGTTAAATCCCAAATTATTCTATATGATTCTGGTATGGTCACTGGCGTATTTGCACACAGAGCAAACTCTGGCAGAAATTAGGTCGGTGGCCAGAATTTGTTCTCCTTATTCATTCATGCAATCATTCAATACATGTTTATCGAGTGCCTATAATTTGTAAGGCTTCAAATTAGCCTGGCAAAAACTAGCATCAACAAAACCAAGAGTTTTGGCCCTTGCGATGCTCTCTGTTTCTAGGGGAGCCAATATTAAGTAAACAGTACCCCAA